TACTAGACGGCATCAAAATTTGATTTGATTGAGTAACTAGGGTGAGAACCCTAGCGGCGCTCACCCACCCTCTAGGAAAGGAAAGATCGCTTCTTGGAGAAAAAACCCTAGTGGCGCTCGAGACTTTTCTGAAATTTTAAAAATATTGTCTACATTAATATGTTATACATAATTATGATATATCAATTCCTATTACTTTAAAAAAAAATTAAAATAATAGAAGAAGAGAAAAAAAATAGTAGTTAAAATTCTTTTAATTAAGATTTAGGTAGAAACTAAAAGAGAAGAATGATTTTATTTAATACAAAAGTTAATCTTTATATTAGTTAAAATTACAGAAGTTGATATAATATAAAATTTATGAGTCATATATAAAATCTAGACAAATTTTATGTTAAGAACAAGTCAATACATAATATATATAATAATAAAGTAAGAGAGATGTATATAATAAAATAATAAAATTATAAAAGACTTAAATGTTTGATGACATTTTACTTTTTAAATTTTATATAATATTAAAAGTATTTATACAATATTGCAATAAAAATAGTTCAATATTCTAAATCTTACATTGTTGCCTTTTGTTCACCATTTTGTGCTTCATTTTCCTTAAGCTGCGATATAAAAGAAAATATCAAATATAAATTACTGTATGATATAAGAAATTTGAACAATACATTATAAATTTGATGACATTTTACTTTTCAAATTCTACATAATATTAAAAGTATTTATACAATATTGCAATAAAAATAGTTTAATCTTCTAAATCTTCCATTGTTGTCTCTTGTTCACCATTTTTTGCTTCATATTCCTTAAATTACGATCTAAAAGAAAATATCAAATATAAATTACTGTATGATATAAGAAATTTGAACAATATATTATAAATTTATACATTAATTTTTTCCTTCTTTTTGGTAAATTTAGTATTTTCACGGTTGGATATATAGGTTTGATACAATCATATGTTGTTAAATTCAGATAGTTAAGAAAAGTCCATTTATTTTTATTGTAACTTGTTGTTCTCCTATAAAAGTATGAAAAATAATGATAAATTTGATACAAATTAATCAGCTAAAAATAAAATTCAATACATAATATCATTTAAAAAATACAGCTTTATACTTACTCAAAAAATTAAATTAAAATATATCACACAATTTAGTGAAATAAAAAAAAAATATCAAACTTGAAAATACATGTACTTATGTGGGTAGATAAGTTTTGACAGCTGATATGATTGCAAAATATAAAAAAAAAATGACAATAAAAAGAATTGTGAGCAAGTTTTCAAAAATTGTGTAAATATAATTTATATAAGTAGAGATGAAGTGCACTTGGTGATATATGAAATGTTAGAAAATAAAAAATTAATATAATAAAAGTTGTCTTTCTATCTGTATTATAGTTTACTTGTCTTTCCATTGAAAATTTAATTTAATAATATATAATATAAAACAATAATTAACATTTAAATATTAAATAGAAATTAAAAGTAAAGATACATTTTTATTTATAATTAAAAGACATTTAACATAAAAAAATTTGAAATTCGTTTAAATTATTTATAATAAATTTTAATAATTTTTTATAAATATCATTTGCAGTAGTTTTGTTATTGTTATTTTTAACATTATATAATTATCAATTCTGATAATTTTTTAAATATAATTTAAAGATAATAAGTATGAATTAATTATGATTATAATTCTTAAATTATGTAATTTATTAAAGTGATTTTAAATTATCTTATTTGATTTTATCTTGTCTTTTTATTAGAAATTTAATTTAATAATATATAATATAAACTAATAATTATATAAGTATAATTTTTTTTAAACTTTAAAGTAAAATTTAGTTTTTAAGATATATATTAAACTATATATTATATTAAAATAATTAATAAAATAATTTAAATTTGTAAACTTGTTTTTTTATTAAAAATTTAATTTAATAGTATATATTATTAACTAATAATTTTATAAATGAAGTATTTTTAATTCAAATTACATTTTCGTATTGTTAATAAATATTGAAATATAAATTATATTAAAATAATTTATATAATAATTTAAATATATAAACTTATATTTTTATTAGAAATTTAATTTAACAATATATAATATAAACAAGTAATTTTATAAATGTATTTTTTATTCAAATTACATTTTAGTATTTGAAATATATATTGAAATATAGATTATGTTAAACTAATTAATAAAACAATTTAAATATGTAAATTTGTCTTTTATTATAAATTTAATTTAACAATTTATAATATAAACTAATAATTTTGTAAGTTTAATTTTTTAATTTAAAATATATTTTAATGTTTGAAGTATATAATAAAATATATATTATATTAAAATATAGTAATAATTTTAATTCAAAAATTATGAAAAATATTATAACTAATTTTAATAACAGTAATTTAAGTTAATTTATAATATAAATATTTATGTTGCCATTTGTAACATAATATAACCATCAATATTAATAAACCTTTTTTAAATACAATTCAAACATAATAAGTATGAATAAAATATAATTTTAATTTGTAAGTTATGCATTTCGAATTTTAATGCACAAAGTAATAAATAAGTATAGTCAATGCGAGTGACTTTATACATTCTAAATTTTAATGTATAGAGTAATAAGTAAATAAAGTTATATATATAGAAATAATTTTTTATATTTCAAAATTTAATATATCTAGTAATAAATAGGTGCAGTCAATTTTACATAGATATATAGACATAGATATAAATAGGTAGTGATATAAAATATAAGTATGTGCTTTAATTTATTATCTACTTGATATATAATAATTAAAAATTTATAATTTGATAAATATGTAAAATATTATGTATAAAAGAGATATTTTGCCTAATGTCCTTATTATATAGAAGATGGTCAATCTCAAGCTTTTGGGGCACCAGACATCACATTTCATGGTTTTAGCTAGCATGAAGATTCTACCTAGCATCATTTGGAAAGTGTATTAAGTTAATTTAATTTTGTTTAGTTTGGTATAGCATGGTTATCTGGCTCAAAATATGTTCATGCAAGTTCACCCCAAAAGCTAATAACATACCATATAGTCATTGACATGTTTACATTATGTACCAAAACAAATATGTTGACATTACTATAGTCTCTGCCTCTTCTCTTTTGCTTGCAAGTTGGATCATGTTAATATGTGATACAAAATCAAATTAACAGTTAGTTGAAAACTAAATACAATCAAAGATTCGATTCTTAAGCGTATGTACAATTTTTTATTTGGTATTATCTGAATAAACTCTTAAATAAATGCTTATAAAAAATAAAAAATAAAATATTTATTAAATTTTAGAGAAGCTTAATGATTTTAATTCATGAGGATAGTTTAATTTTTTTTTTTTACTCTTGTAAATATTGATTAAAAAAAGTACTCAAATTAAGCCTTAATTTTATTATATTAAATTGTGTAATTATCTTCCTTTTCATGAATTTTCGCATTTATTGATAAAAATCTCACTTATACACCGGTATTTTATAATATATACGAACACGGAATTTTTACTATGTGACAAAATCATAAAAAGTCTAATAAAAAGAATATTAATTCGTGTACAATAATACGGACACCAAAATTGCATAAAAAGGAAGTATTTGTTTTCTTTTAACCAAGCTCTTGGCATTGGGGTTTCTTTAAATCACAACCACAAAAGTTATATCAGTTACTGTGTGACACGTAGAAGAGAAAGTTTTCAAAGAAAATTTCAAACAAACAAGCTGCTTAGTCTTCTAGAATTTATGACATTCTCTTTTTTTTTTTTTAGTTTTTTTTTGGAAAATAAAATTTTATAAATAAGGCTTGGGCTATTCAAAAGCCTTTTAGCTAATGTTCTTGGAATGTAAGATGAGTAGTCGAATAATTTTTCTTTTTATTAAGAAAACCTTATTTATTTTGGAATGTTTCTATCGAAGACAGGCGTGTAATGGTAAGTCTTATAAAATAATCATAATATTATAATCCGGAAAAAAGCAAAAAAGGTTCACAAATAGAATTTTATCAGTGTGTTTTTGCGCTATATGATAATACTCACAAACTAAATTATAATATTTTAAAATAAATATTTATTTAATATAAGCACCTGCAAGGTAAAACTTAATTTAAGCAATTAATTAATGGATAATCCTTAATTAGTTAAACTTCGTGTGGTAGTGGCCTAGCTAGCAGCCTTAACCAGCCAGTCAAAATCTCATATGCTTTTGTGGGGTTGCGCTCAGGGAACGATGCTTCTTTGGTATTGCTTCATGCGTCTCTTCACCTTTTTATATGAATCAATTTTTTCTGGTTCCTATTTCAAATAACTTTGTTATAAAAGTTTTCCATTTATTTATTTTGTCAACATTAAATAAGGATTTTTTTAAATGTCTTGTATACTTGAGTTAGATAAAATCGTTACGATTAACAAATTTTTATTTAAAATATTTAATATAAAAAATTTCTAACTTGAGACTGTTGATTATTATTTTAATTATTAGTATTATAAAAATATTGAATTTTTTACTATAGCAATCATTAATTAATTTAATTTCAAAATCAAAATTATCAGCTAATCTGGTATTTATCATTAACAAGTTGGTTAATTTTTTAAAAATTTAGTTAAACAACAATCAATTTAATTCTTAATATTGATGATTAAATTGATGGATATATATTAATATTGAAACTGAAAAGTTTTCAACGTGTCAATTTATGACCAACACATAATCATATAAATATTTATATAGTTTCAAACTTACGTTCTCTGACACTTCCTTCTACAAACCAACCTTTCAATCTTTTTCAACACACCATTATTTGATTTCCTCTTCATCCTTTCTGCTGCAACCCCTTTTTTCTCCTTCTCTTCAACACTTTCTCACCTCTCTTCCTTTGATCTGCATATAATTGCAAATATATATAAAAAAAATAAAAAAATGAAGGTATGGTCACACTTGCTAATGTTGATCCTTCTCTATTGTTATTTAATTGTTCATTCCTTTTCTAGAAATGGATTATTTTCTTCTTAACTTTGACTCGGAACTTCGATTCCTTGTTGATTCTCCATGACCTTTATGTTCCCCCTTTTAACTTTCTCTTCTTATATCCCCTGTTTTCTCCGTTTTTCCTCCTGATTTAAGGATCTGCTGCATGAACTGAATTTTGATGTTCCCTTCATCAGAATCATGGTTTTGGATTTGATTTCAACTTCTGATTTAAAGATGTATAATGGTTTACTTTTCAAATTTTCCGAGTGTGTCTATCACTTTTTTTTAAAAATTATTTCTTTGAATATTCTTTCACAAGTTAAGGTTACCTAAGATTTATTATTTAGAATATGGATTAAACAGTTAATGATTTTGCTTACAGAAGTTTGTACTCAAGTTAGATTTGCATGATGACAAGGATAAACAGAAGGCCCTGAAAATAGTCTCAACTCTTTCAGGTGAGGTACCAAATCTTTTTATTGTTCCCTTTGGGGGTTCTTTAGATTCAGCACTCTTTTCATATTTTTGACTAAGATACTTGCATATCTATTTTTCTTGGTTTTGAATGCTCAAATTGAGGGAATGTTAGGTAACAATATGTAAAGAACTCTACATTCATAAGTTTCTCATGTATATTTATTTATATTCTAATTATCTTAGATTAAGTATGAATATTGGGATATCTTGTATTAGTGTCAGTTTGGTTTATTATTAAAGAATAATTTGTGAATTTTTTAACAAAAAATATATTTTTTAATGAAATGTTTAATTAATATTTATTTGAACACGTAACTAAATTATGTTTTAACAATTTTAAATTAATTTTACCTAAATTTAAAACCTAAGAGCGAGTACTTTACCCCTCTGTTTAAATCTCTCCTTGAAAGTCCAACATGATCCCTCAAGTTTTCCCCTTTTAGGCCAAGGCGTACTTAACACGCTACACTAGTCTAAGGTCTAGGCTGGACCAATTTTTTAACAAGTATTTATGAGAAAAAATAAAATAATTTTTTTATAAAATAAAATCCATTTATGTTTTTTTTTTTTGTACAATTCTTTTAAAATTTAAGATGTATAAATTAATTTTAATTTATAAAGAAGTTTTATTTATTTTTATTCTTTGTTTTCTTCTTTTTTTCATAAACACTTAGCTAGAAATTTGGCTAAAGTGAGCTTAAATAGTTATTAGCTGATTAGTTGTTTTTTCCTCTTCTAGCTTTCCTATGTTTGAAACTGTCAATTAGGCTCTTATTTTAAATCTGATAAAGGCATGTGTTAGAATGTTAAAAAATTCTCCAATGCTTATATAAAAAGAAATTGAAATGGCTTTTGGTGTTTGTTAGAGAATATGGTTTTGTTGTATCAAGCTTCTTATTGTACATGTTAATAGAACCGCAATTCAGCAGTTGTATATATACTTGCACCAAATAATTTACACTATAATTTATACATATCTAATTTGATATTTGGATTTGAATAAACTCTTCAAGTGAATTCATGGGCTTGTTTGATAATTTGGTTGATTGGATTGGTTCTCCTTAAGGATTTTTCTTTTCAAAGGAAAAAATAAAGTCCTAATAATAAGTTTATGCAACATCTTATCAGGTATTGATGCTATCTCTATGAATATGAAAGAGAAGAAATTAACAGTGATAGGAACAGTGGATCCAGTAAGTGTGGTGAGCAAATTGCGCAAATATTGGCAAACAGACATAGTAGCTGTAGGACCTGCCAAGGAGCCTGAGAAGAAAGAGGATCCTAAGAAAGAAGAAGCCAAGAAAGAGGGAGAAAATAAAGAAGAGCAAAAGAACGAAGAGGGCAAAAAAGAAGAACCAAAGAAAGAAGAGGAGAAAAAGAAAGAGGCACCACCAGATCCTGTTTTGGAACTGGTCAAAGCTTATAGGGCATATAATCCCCAAATGACCACACACTACTATGTTCAAAGCATAGAAGAGAATCCTAATGACTGTGTCATTTGTTAAATATGAGGGAAAGACATACTTTTTCAACATGCATGGTAATGGTTTCAATTCTCTTTTATCCAAGAAAATAGGACTTCCTTGTATATAATATATGGTGGTGCCTTGTTGAGTTACTAAGGTGAGAAGGAATAAAATTTTGGGGAATTTGTTTTGCATGGAGATGTAGTTTACACTTTTCCCCGTAGTAGTTGTTATCTGAATGTATCAAGCATGAAAGTTAGTAATCTGTTTGTTTAAAAAGTAATTGAAACAAAATGAAGACATTATATTTTTTGGGTGGGTGGGAGTGGAATTATAATATTCAATATTCATACATTTATATAGTATTTTTAATTTTTTTTCATCTTTTGTTTTACTTTTACATCCTTTTATTTATTGTATTTTTTATTTCTCAAGAGATAGCCATAGGATGAACTACCGAATATGCTGGCAGATTCTTAACCACTACAAACCATAAAATATATAATATGTAGCCTTGTCATGCCCTGTTGTCCTTTTTGTGGGACATGGTGGCTGAAAAAGCATAGTACCCTATTCTGAGGTAGTGATTGGTGAAGGTAATTGTAATTGACCTGAATTTCGTCATTTGGGAAATACACTAAAATAGTAGTTGTGTTCTAATTATAGTTCGTGTTATATATATATATATATATATAGATATGAGCTTGTGGTTTACACTTCAGGCTAGTTTTAATGGTCCTAGAATAAAAATGAATAAAATAACAAAGTAAAATGAGAGTAATATAAACTATGAGTTTGATAAATTTATATTTTATTAATATTTTGTGTACGTCAAATAGAAAAGTATTATTTTTTAAACATAAATTATTTTTAAATTATAAATTTTGTACAAAAATATCATTGGAAAGAGTTGTTTTTAGCGCTTGATTATGGAGAGATTAATGTTTTGTTTAATAAGTGAAAAAATATTTTGAAAATTTTTAACATTTAAATATTATGCTATATATATTAACAAAATTAATATTTTACCCTTTAATTTAAATTTTAGTTTATTTTTTTAATTTTTTTTTGTTCAATTTAATGTTTTTAAGTTTTATTTTCTCTCATGGCATATAAAAACAGTTTTATATTATTTCGTTCTAATGTTTAATTAGAATTTTAATCTCCACTCTCTTCTTATTATTCTTTCTTTCTCCAACATTGCAAAATTTACAAACCCAACCTTAGTCCTTGATTTCAAAATTACAAAAGAAAATAGTAACAAGAAATTTTAATTAAATTTAACCCAAATTTGATTAACAACAATGGATTTCAAATATCACAACACCAAAATGCCTAAGAAGAAGAGAGAAAGAAGGATATAGACTGGACCACGATCAAAATCCATCACTCCCATCAACATCTTCTCCACCATCTCAACCCATCAATGCACTCTCACCATTTAAGTTTGATCACCACCGTCATTTTCAGCCATTAAAGAACTTATGATCCAAGTCAAACCATTTCCTTTATCCCCACTCATTAAAGAACTCACCATCTAAGTTAGACCCATCAAGTTTCCTTTTGATGATTTGAAATTTATGTATTGTATTAATTATATTTCTCTTTACAAGTTATATATTATAGACATATCTTGTCATATATATTTTTAGATTTTTTTTATATTTTTTATCCAAATCATATTATATTCATACCTTACTTTGTGCTCGTACTTTCTAATCAGCGTATTAAATTGTTCGAGTGAAATTAACTAATAATAATGAAGTTTTCTCTTGGAAGAATATTGTCTTTTTTATAGGCAAAATATATATTATTAGAGAGAGTTCAAGAGAAATTCAGAACTTATATACACAGAAAAAAATTACTTATTCAGAGAAATAAAAAGCAAAAATATATTTATACAAAGTTAAGACGGATGCAATTTCGTGGGTTCAAATATCAGTCATCTAACAAAATAGCTTCTCTCTTACTTACAAGTGATAGTTATTTTCAGGACCTCAGAATAATAGAATCTATGACTTCTCTCTCATCCAAAACACCATTGGAAAACACAATTCTATTTCTATGTAACCATAAAGACCACACTGTACTTATCCAAACAATTAATAAATATATCTCTTCTCTTTTGCTACAACCAACATCAATCTAAGAAAGCAAGTGAGGTAGGCAAAACCAGTGAAAATCCAAGCCAACGCGCAGTAAAGTACCAGATTTGAGATGAAATTGAACACGTTAAAAATAAATGAGTTGGAAGTTCCTCCAAATCATGACAAAAGCAACAAGTTATATCATCAATTTGAAAACCACAATCAATCAGCAAACCTTTACAAGGAAGTGTATTCAACAACAATTGCCAAGAAAATACCAGACACTTAAGAGGCACCTTGCCTCTCTATAGCCTTTGCAAGGCATCTGCCGTACACTGATCTATACTATTAGGACTACCAAAAAGTTCAAACAGCCATGAATACCCAGATTGCATTGAATAACAACTTGAAGAATCTGCCCTCCATACCCATTTATCTTCTTGTAGTAACTTAATAGAAACCCCATTCACAAGCTCCAACAAAAGATTAAAGCTTGAGATCTCATGTTAAAAGAGTCCTCAAATACACATGATTCAACATTCCTCGCCACCACAAAAAATCACAGAAATGCCTCACACAATTGCACATCGCTTACCTACTTATCTCTACAGAAAAGAGTGTGTAAACCTACACCCACACTCCTATCAAACTTCTTATCCAGCCATGAATTTTCTTGATGAATAACCTCCAGTAAATTACGTCACCACAAAGAACATTTTTTGTGGACTAATGAACGCTGAATAGAAGAAGCTAATCTTTCATACCTAGATTCCAACACCCGCACCCACAATGAACTAGAACAATTAACACCTTGTCATAACCATTCACCAAGAAGCGCTCAGTTAAACCACTGCACATTTCTAATGCCCAAGCCACCATTCTTCCGCGCTCTACATACCGTTTACCATTTCACCCAAGCAATTTTAGATCCATCCTTAACACCCTCCCATAAAAAATTTCGTTTGATAGTGACAATCTCCTTTATCACCGACTTCAGCACCTTAAAAAAAGATAACGAGTGCAATGATATAGAATTAAGAACGACATTAATCAAAGTCATTGTACCTCCAATAGATAAATACCTATACTTCCATGATGTTAACCTCTTTTTAAGAGTCTCTATCACACCCTTCCATGCACTAGACTTTCTCGGGTTAACATTTATCTGTAACTCGAGATACTTTAATGGGAAACTACCAATCTTATAATGTAAGAACTCCGCAACCAAGTTTTCAAAGTCATCACCAGTGTTAATCTCCAATACACAACTTTTATGAGATTAATTTTCATACCTGACATTAATTCAAAGCTACGCAATACTGCTTTCAAAGTCTATAAGTTTTGAACCGAAGCCTCTCCCATAAGAAATATTCGGTTTCCCTACCCCAATCTTCACACTAGAGAACAACCCACAAGCCACTGCCTTCCGCATAAGAACTCCTAACCCTTCCGTTGCCACAAGAAAAAGAAAAGGGGCGAGAGGATCCCCCTGTTTTAGGCCCCGCTCAATATGAATCTCTAATGTAGGACAACCATTAATCAAAGCTGATAGGCTACTCCCACATACACAAACTTCTATCCAACTGATCCATTTTTTTGAAAATCCAAAGCTACGTAACATAAACAAAAGATATCTCCACTCCACCGAATCATAAGCCTTCTCATAATCAAGCTTTAACACAAAACACCTCTTGTTATACCTCCGCACATAATCAACTGTTTCATTAGTCACAAGCACACTATCTAACATGTTCCTTCCCGGGATAAAGGTTGATTGTTCTTATGAAATTAGTGAATCCAAAACCCTTTTCAACCTATTTGCTAAAAACTTGGAAACAATCTTATAAAGACAACCTAATAATGAGATAGGCCGAAAATCAGATATTTGTTGTGGACAAGACACTTTTGGCACAAGTGCTACAAAGTAAGATAACAAAGACCTAGGTAGTCTCCCATTTCTACAAAATTCAGTAAGCATACCCATTACTTTTTCCTTGATCACTCCCCAAAACCTCTTAAGGGACACAAAATTGAAACCATTAGGTTCTGAACATTTATCCCCCTCACACTCCAAAATCATCATTCCCACTTCCTCCTCGAAAAAGCATTAACAAGCCCCTTATTCTGTAGAACAAAGACTCTCGATAAATCATTAACATTAATAGTAGGTCGAAGCCAACCTCTACTAGTAAAATGAGCCGCAAAATAGGACACCACACATGCTTTAATCTCATCAACCTCTTCTACACATCTCTTCCTAATTTGAAGCGCATGTATATTATTTCGTTGCCTCCTCCCATTAACACACAAATGAAAGAACTTTGTATTTAACTCATCCTCCTTCCCCATCTCACCCGAGCTTTTTGGGCTATGCAACTCTCCTTATTCTTCCTAGCTTTTCAAATATCACCCACCAATATCTGTTGACGCTTCTTCTCCACATCGAAAAGTTTCATCATAGAATTTTTATCATCAATCAAGCTCAACTCGGTTGTCAAATCAAAGATCACATTATCAAAATTTCCAAATACCTCAATATTCCATTTTTCAATGCAATCTTAACATTCCTCAACCTCTGGCTAGCTCTCTAGGCAGCCCATGAAAGGGTAATATCTCTTTTCCACGCTTCCTCCACCACCTCCACAACTCCTTTATGAGTCAGTCAATAATTGTTAAATCAAAATGGCTTCAGACCCCAGTTAACCACTTTGTGCTTAAGAATAATGGGACAATGATCAGACACATCTCTGCTTAGAACCTGAATGAAACCATCTCCCCAGTAATCAAGGCAGGAACTAGAAATAAGGACTCTATCTAGCCTACTCATCATAGAAGCATCCTTTTTTATCTATGTAAATTTTTTACCCACAAGTGGAAGATCTACAAGTTCTATTTCTTAAATGAAAGAATTGAAGCCATTCATTTTAGAGATACCATGGTCTACCTGACAACCCTTCCTCTCTTGCACTTGTTTCACAGCATTCAAGTCACCCAATATACGCCACATAAATTTGCCAAAACCCCTTCTTATCATGAGCAAATCATTCCATAACTTTCTCTTCTCACTTAGTCTACACGATGCATAGATATTCACCACAACACATAGGTTTCCAGTAGCCAATACCTACAAGCAAAC